TACTCGTAGTCGACCACCCCCACATCCTCAACGAGGTCAGTCGTCATTGATAGCGTGCGCAAAGTGCGAGGCTCGTGCTCATCGGGCCTAGGATGTACATCCCCGGTGCCGCGGACGCACTGTCCGACATCGCACCGCGTGCGGGAGACGAAGTAGGGCTCTGCCCGTGCTCGCTGACAGAACCAGCGAGACTTGGTGACTTCCGTATAGTGGACACAGGGCTCTTTGAGAAAGGAGTTGTTAAATTCCGACAAATAAAGTTGCAGTGTCTAACGGACACGCGAGTCTCGTTGAGGCAATAATCGATTAGAACTGTAATGTTCTCAATCTTAATGGGGGAGGGTGTAACGGGGTTAGACGTACCCTGGTAACAGGGGGGTTGTCACACGAGATGTGCTTGGTTTGACCACACCCAAACAAAAATAAGGTACGGGGCTAGGTAGCCAGTAGTTATGTATGTATTTAGATACTACTATATATATTTAGTAAACTTAGGACAATCTAAACTATTAAAATTAGGCGGCTTTGTCGCAGATAAACGGAAGAGCTAATTAGCCTTGTGTTAGGTAATAATTACTCTTAGAGTTAGCGGATTGGGATCCACTAACTTGTACTTGTTCTAAGTATAGAACGAACGGTCGGTGACCTAAATTACGCTTCCTCAAGCGCTAAGCTACGGCAGCCCCGCTGCTGCTAATCAACGCGCTGAGGTAGGCTTTGTGCGCTCTAACCAGGTGCGAAACCGAGAGCCTTTATGATAACCGACATGATTAGCTCGCTCTGTTGCTTGGAAAGAACACATCTATAGGATTCATTCAATTTAGACTAATACAGAAAATTCACACTTTAATAAGTCCCATAACTAAAGCATCCTTTTCTTCTGACGTAGTAGTCCACATATACCTAGGAGACTTCCACCATCTTCAGACAACCAATATTTCGGTACTTGCAGTACAATGAGATTTTTTCACAAGTATTCAACATTATATTTGGTAAAATTGTACCAAATTTGTTATGGTTATGTTCACATGATTGCAGTCATCACTATGCTACAGAATGTCTGTATTGAGAATTGTAATGCTGGGTCACACCACCAGTATTTGCTGCAACCGTTACCGGCGGCGTCCTCTCTAAGTATGGTTTTAGGGGAGGGTCACGCCCGTCGAGATATGTTAAGGGATACTATTTCTAAATTAAAAAAGAAATGTGAATTGTGTGGCGTACAGACATTACAGAGTTGCGCTCGTACTTCTTACACTATTTTATAAACATACCAAGCGTATTATATCTTTCGATACTGAGAAGTATCGAAGCCGCGTTAATAGACGCACAAAATTAGGCTTGCACGCTTCACAAAGGAGCCGGACCGATAGCCTCTAAGCTGCTTAGCTACTTCAGAAGTACTACAAATTCTTGATATGAAGCTGATAGCCCCCGTAGAGCACGAATCTCTCCTTAGTGGAGTCTCATCATCTTGCCCAATGATAGCTTCCTTGGTGCAAATGCATGGCAAGCCCGTTATCTGCGGTAGTAATAAAATGGATTGGATTTCCTTTTTTCGCTATCTCGGAGCATTAACGTGAGTGATTGCAACAGCCATACGTCATTGTCATTGTCACCTGGCATTCTTGTTGGTTATGTATGATATGAGATGCCTGGTTTATATTGAACCATAGTATCAAGTATTTGTACCACTTGCTGGATCGTTTGATCGCGGAAGCGCTCATTCCAGGCGAAGTAGGTATTTCTACGACTCTTGGGGGACCTGCGGTTTAGTTCACTTCCCAAAAAAGAGACATAAATTTAGAATAAAACGAAGTGATGACACAAGAGATTTCCTTATATTTATCATTTCTATCTCTTTATCAATGCAATTTCTAAATGTTATCATGGTATATCCGAACATAAGATCTTCCTGTCGTATGAATATTGAGAATTGTATTTCTGCAGCTGGTTCGTCGTTTAACTAGTGGGGCCTCAGAAAACGGCGCAAAAGATGCAAATTTCGTCTGATGCCAGGAAATGGTGTAATTTCCACACCAGCGGGTAGACAATTTATGAAACGCATCCATCCGGTTAGCTGCATATTTCTGGAAACTGTAATGTGTTGTACTGATTTGCTAATGTACAGTATGAGATCAATACCTTATCAGAAGGTTTGCTAAATGCATGGTAATGCCTATTTGCGAAGCAGTTCGTTATTATTGGTCTAAGGGAAGTCGCAAGGCACAAAGTGCGTAAGATTTAGCTTGAATCTGGACATGTTGACGCACTTTTTTGTTTGCCCATCCAAAGATGAGGTCCGCTCGACAGCACCGAAAAATCAGTTTAAAATGCTGCCATATCACTGATAATACGCTCGCTTCACGGAATTGTCGATTACTGATTTCGCATCTTAGCACTTTTATAGGCAAGTTTTATTTGATTTATTTATTGCATGTGAAGCCCAAATTTTAATAACCGTATGCCAGACCAGAATGAGCCATACAGCTTGGGTGTCACAGTAAGACAGGCTGATGCAATAGCGAAGACGCATTGCGAATATTGCTTTCCAACACAAGGACCCTTCAGTCAAGTCGATATCAGAACATTTTGATAGACTATGGCAGATTACGAGGGCTACTTACTGCTACACGACTTTGGACGACAAGCAGTACGTCAATTTTGTTTACCCTTTCATGTATGGTGTTGCCTTATTCGCTATTGTTACTCAATTCATAGGATCCTCTCTACTTTGAGTTAGAGGGCGGATTGCTACAGTACTACGAAAAGAAGGACGGACGCTTCATGGGCCACTTTTCGCTCACTCGCCATCGCGTAATGGTCCAGCCCATTGACACCGGATTAACGCCAAATCGTTTTTGCCTTGAGCTGTGTCCCGTCCGCTCGATGCACGATGTAGATCGCTCAATTAAACATCTCCCACGTATTCGCATCGTTCTTAGCGCGTCTACTCCTGAGACTCAAGGCCAGTGGATCCACGCATTGCGCACATGGCGCCGTCGTAATTGGAAAGATACAGCAGTGATTGCTGCTTTCGAAGACGAAGCTAAAGCTTTGCGTGTAATGATGATTATGTATCATCTCGAGTTCAAGCTGCTACGAACCACGGACCGAACGCTAAGCAAAACTAACATTGAGTCTGGGTCAAGCGACCCAATTTACGGTGGCTCTAGGATGGCAAAGTTTTGTGCGCATCCAGCCACAACGGGGCCAGGAGGAGTCGAAAGGACGCACTTCAGCAACTCGTTTCGCTTCCAGGGCGTTTACGCAAACCAGATTGCGCAGTGACGACCAACAATGTTCCTCCCCTTAACAAGCCTGCCGCATTATCTTGCCATGTCATGTATTTTCCGTAATAAGTTTACAAGTATCGTCCAGAATGACCGCGTCTGCTTGTGAACACATAAAAGTTATATAGTTCAGATGCACTGATACGATGCTGGCAATCCATGTCTAATAATATGTCCCTAATTATAAAGCAATGATGTTGCATGTATAATTTCTTCCAGTTACAGGCACCAAGGAAATGTACCACGTTGACCTTGGCAAACTCTATTATACTATCGCGATTTCGTGCTTTGTTACAGCCGCAGGAATCGTCTGGCATTTGCCCTAGTAATGAAGGCAATATCTTGTGTCGAACGACCAAGAGCACTTGCCACAGCTTCAGCCACGAACGGCATTGCACTGGGAACGTTTGGATACTGTTTTTTATGGCTGAATGACTCAGCACGTCGGCAATTAGGAAATCCCATGTATGGTGCATCTGTCTCGAGTACAAGGCGATTCAGTGGTACGAGCTTGACTAAATCCTTTAGGGCAGCTCCTTGCTTCTTGCATATAAATCCCGTGATACCGATGTACCAGTCAACTCCACGCGCGATGTAGACTTTTAATTCTTTCTCACTACCAGTAAAGCAATGGACCGCCGCCGGCGGAAAATATCCGTTGAAATCTGCTTTGGCCTCATCAATCAGCCGAATGAAATCGTCATGCGCTAATCGTTCATGCAAAAAGAGCGGCTTTCTTAGCGCACAGGCCATTCGAAGCTGCTCGACAAACCACTTTTTCTGAACTTCTGGTTGAGGAAAATCTGGCGAGTAATCAAGTCCGCACTCCCCAACAGCTTGGACTTCGTCCAGCTCGACTAGACCTCGTAAAGTAGCAAGCTTCTCGTGTGTTGGCATTTCTCGTGCATAGTAAGGATGCACTCCTGCAGTCGGAAAGAGCTTGGCCCTGTAGTGTCTACAAAGCTCGATAGCTCTCAGTGACTCCTCGATGGTAGCTCCAGGCACTAGCATTTCCTTAACACCGACCGCTGTCGCTTGTTTGATTAGTTCATTGATGTTACCGCGGAGATCTTCGTGGGTCAAATTGCAATCAAAGTCGAAAAGCTCTAGATGCGCATCTTGAGTCGACGTTGACACGAGTTTTTGGCTCATTTTGGCGAATATTGGCGCCGATCTACGGACGGGTGTTCTTTGATAGGAGCTCCGCTCGAGATGCTTGACAGAAGAATCGTGTACATAGTACCAAATGTTCGTAAACAGTTCGCTCTGTTCCATTTTAATACTAAATGACAAAACCTCGGCATAATGACAACTTATGTCGCAACCCGGACAATCCGCGATTTTGAGCTTGAGCTTTGTGATACAGTTTCGAACTGCTCTAGCTAGCGCGATTTAGCAAACAATTCCGCTGTTACAATTTTTTTGAACCTCATCACCTGACACGACCATTCAACTAGCCAACGTATTTACATACGTGCAACCACAGCCGCAAGGTTTCGCTAAAGAGTGTAAACTTTCAAGCTTCATGGCATCAAAATAATAAAAAGTGAATCTCAGAGCCCAATTTATTATGCACTTTTTATTGTAATGGAAGTGGGCAACAGACTTCCCCCAACATAGTAAAGAGCATGTTGAGTAAAAAGGAAAAAAATATCTCTAACAAAAAGGCATGCTACTGTAAAAATGGTGTGGAGGCACGCAATATCTTTTTGTTAGAACATTTAATATGTTTGAACTCTGTTTAAGTGTTATTATTTTTAACCAATAAACGTGGGTAAAAACATATGGTCGCATTTTTGTGTTACGAATTCGCCGTCCTCTTGGCCCCTCTGACCTCTCCCCAAGTCTGCTGTCACCTAGGAATTGTAATACTGCTGCAGCATCGGTAGTTGCATCCTCGCAATTACAATACTATGGCATCTTAGAAAACGCAGGCCGTCCTGCGTCGGAGAGAAGGATGCAATTTATCAAGAAGTGTAAGAACTCACAATTCTGATATCTCTGTATTCACTGCGAACGGGTCCACAATGATGACCCTGAATTGATTAATCCTCCCAAAAAAAGTCATTGGTCGCATAGAAACATTTGAATTCCATTTGAGTGCTTGCAAACATTATGAAATCTCTATATTGACACAACAACGAACATGTCAGGTGGTCGCGATGTTGCCGAAACAAGCAAAAACTCGGGTGCTGTCTCCACGATCAGATTGGGCGCCATAACCATGAACAATAAGCGAGTGCACAAGTCTTCAATGCTCGAATTCTGTCCTGTTGCATCACGTAATAGTCAGTTGCAGGAATTTGATATCTTTTGCTTCGTTCCAGGCAGAAACCAATCTTCCTGCTGCTTTATTGAACGAGAGTGCACGATGCGTTTGTTTCGGTTTGCTAACATTGAATGTGTCAAATGTCTCCCCACCAATTACTTCTTGATGGAAAGATTCCTGACACTTATGTTGCCGTTGACGACCAGGGTTCTCTTTGGGCAGTTCAAGGTGATGACATGAGAGTTAATCTATAATGGGGTCAGTCCCATCAAACATGCTGAATGAACGATATACTTTTCGTGAGGGAAATATAAACCATATATCTTGCATAGTTGTATAATCCTCAATCGTGTCTTGTCAAAATTGAAGGTACTTATCAGTTAAGGGAAAATTTAAGGCATATTGGCCAATTTCGCTTGATCGTTAGACTGCACCACAGCTTTAAGCAAGCGCACTTGATCCTCATAAGAATGCATAACAAATGTCACATCGCCTTTACCTTTTCGTTAAGTTGATGGCTCGCTGGAAGCGAGCAACATGCCATATAAGTCTTCCTCAGTAAGTGCGTGTTTACGGACTGGTGATTCCTATTACGCAATCTGCTCACTGATGCATAGGAAAGTATTGATAAATTCCATATATGGCAATTCAGTTGTGCCTGAACTGTGTTTCTTTAGTTTACATAGCTGCAATTCTTACTAACCGTCAAGAAGGCCTAGCAATTGCTGAACTGCTTAAGAAGTTGGTCATAAGAATGCAAAGTGAACGCGAAGCGTTCACTTTGTGGAATGTGAAATGTGGGATCTATTGTTACCGATTACGCTGGAAATTGTGGCCACACGCGATGAAACTTGACTTTACGATGGCCGAAGATGATTTTCTGCTTTTGTTTCGCCGACCAGGTCAACCTATTGCTCAAGGACGTATTCGATGCTTCGTCCGTATTACAGCCAAGTTCGCGTACAATATCGTTGTATGTTTGAAAAAATTAACAGCAAAGTGGCTGCCTCGCTTTTGGGACGAAATGGGATTCACAAATGGTATTCACTTTGCGCGGCTGATGAATGGCAAACGCGTTAAGACTCAATGCAGCCCATGTTCGCATCAATTCTTCGTATCAAAACCGCTTTGAAATCTATGTTATGAGATGAAGGAGTTAGGCCAATTTTCCTGTTGCTTTGTACGGGTTGCGGAACGAGCAGTTTGGCCCAATATACTCTTAGAGGATTGGTTTGTTTGAATTGCTGAATGTTTTATATAGCTGCAAGACGCAAAAACCATTATTCGCGCTTTCCCAATTGCCTTAAGAATACTATATACTTACATTTGGAAACAAATCCTTCAGCTTTTGCGATAGCTGTCATTTTGACGCTCTTGGTCCATTGATTTAATTTTGTCGGGACGATTGGGAATAGCCGTTGTTTCTTTAGCCATGTTCATGATCCCATCTTATCGAAAACAATTTTTTGCTTCCTAAAAAGAATTCTGCTTCCTAAAACAAATTCTGCTCCCCGAAAAGGGACCTGGCCTCATTCATAGCGATGTCGGAAATCTTCATTTCTACTATTTGCGCTTGATTGATGAAGATCTTGGACAGCCACGTTAAGAGAGAAGGACGTGGTGTAATGCTGTATTTATTACAATGGCTTAACTCCCACCGAGTTTTCTAGCACTCTTGATTTGTAGAAATACCTGCATCACACTACATTTTAGTACGTATCGTACTAGCTGTTTCACGCATTTCTACAGATACTACAAGAGCTCGCTCTTTTCTATTCTGTCAGAAGAAACCGATTGAAGCCGAGAAATGTAAATAATTAAACGTTGTCGTACTAAAAAAAGACCGTGAAAAAAGCTTTACAAATCAAAGATTCGAAAAGTTCACGTTGTCGGTCCAACTGGACCTCGAACCATTAAACACACTAGAAACAACCATGGAGATTATAACTTTTACTGACGATATGAACTCAATTGTATTGGACAGCGACTCTCTAAGTGCTTTTCTTAGCGTTCCAGAAGGTGCACCTAACTATACATTCGATGCTGAAGACGGCCCACAGAAATCATCCTCAGAAGGTTTTCATGTAATATGAGGTTTGTGCACCCTGGCCCGAATAAAATGATTGTGGGGACATCGCGGGTCTCGTCCTTATGGCCTGCGAGGTCGTGGCAAAAGCTTAAGGTTTATTTGCATCTGTCAATAAGAACGACTGGGCACCCGCAAACAGAATCTAAGAATTCAATAGCATTTGAATTCTTCAAGAATTTTAACATGTTTAATCGCTTAGACACAATTTACACGAGGGCGCTTGGCCTTCAGACACAACACACACGCTTGTGCGACGAGGAATCGATTTCCGACGTGGAGGGAAAAGGAAAGTCCATTTTAAAGGAAAGAAGAACGACTTAAGACCTTAAAAATAAATCTGCAACTAAATTGAAATGAGTTATAGCTCCTGGCTACATGCAAAACACCCAAGGGCTCCTAAAGGATTTACTAATAAGAACTTGGGTTCCTGGTATATAAATCAAGAGTGTACTGAGGTTGCGCCTCAGCTTCAACGGATACAAGATCTTGGATGTACGGAGCTTGATTGTCGAAAGCTTGAAATTTGGCTTTCGTGGAAGGTATCCAGTAGAATGGACTGGCTTACGCCACCCATTTTTAAGGGCAGAGACATGTCGGCCTCGTTATCAGAACAGACCCCAAGTAGGAGCCAGCATTCTGTATCACACAGAATGTTTGTTACTTTGTATATGAAATCACGATTACATTTGGGAGCACCATACCGTAATCTTCTTTTTTCGGTTCCCACAATGCATACAGAATGTGCATAAATGTGCATTCTTGTAATGGCTAAGTGTTCCCCATTTCACAATGTAAACATAGGCCTCCTTAGTGGCGGTTGCTTTTTTAACACTGATCGACGAGCAAGTCGCCATTTAACAAAGGCCTCCTTAGTGGCGGTTGCTTTTTTAACACTGATGGACGGGCAAGTCGCTATTTGACTTCAGGGCAGCCAGAAGAGCTGCACAGCGAGAGGCTCACTATCAGATTTGACTGTGTCCAGGCGCTAATCTTTGATTCACAAATTGTCATCAATATATATGCGTAGAAGTCAAATTTGTGTGCTCCTACCAGGAGCGTTACTTGAGAACCTCTGAGGTAACTATCAGCTGTTTGATTGATTGCTATTTCAGGAGAGCAGAGTAAAATGAAATCTGCTCAAACCAATAATAGTTTTATATATATATATATATTAGAGCTCATTAAAACTGTGTTTATTGCTTAACGCGCGACTTGCAGCCCACGTGTACCACAGACCTATCCTGTTCGAAGCCCAATCATCTTCATCCAACTGATAGTATGGCTTTTATAAATACTCTCGATCTTATCGCGTGTAGTGTGCATCGTACAATTGTAAATGCGCTAGGGTTGGTTCAGTACTAATGCTGTTACGCTATTGGTCTGAAGCTGTTACAGGGGACAATTGGGCTCTTAACAGCAGGAGCTATAGCTAATTTCTTTTCACATTGACGTTCACATTTTGCTTTGCTTCGATAAAGCTGGCTTGTAAGGCATTTACACGAGTAAGGCGACGCATTTTTCTTATCATCCGCACGAAGAGATTTCAAAACTCCTCAAACTTCTGCCAACGTCAAGTACCCTAGGTACGTCCCTCATGGAGAGCCGCAGTATTTTCAACCGCTGGTGTTTCAAGCGCATATGGAACACATTTACAATGGATCCTTCCTTTTCTGGGCTTCATCAACTTTGTTTTGTAGCCTCAACTCCGGGACTTTTTCATGGGATCGATACAACGGCTTGCCTAAACTTGGGGGGCGACTACCTGTGGATTGAGAAAGCACTTACGGAGCGACTGTCATACGGTTGTCTACTTCTTGGTCGGTGCAGTAGGCACACCCCCATTAGCGCGTAGTAATTCCATACCATGGTGAGGACAATTTGAAGCAATAATCGCGACGTGGTGTTTGGAGCATGCGAGATTCTACGCGACTCTTTCGCTTGCAGTGGGCAAGTTGGGCAAATTTAGCCATATCCAGCTCGCTGGAGTAGAGCTGGATATCTGTGTGCTCCGTGGCGGATAGTCGCTACACTTCCAGCTGATGTATCTGTGTGCTCCGTGACGGATAGTCGCTACACTTCCAGCTGATGAGGTCTCAGACTCATGCAGTATGGACACTTAGCACAGTGAGCACCTCCTCTTTGGGAAACAGCTATGTCTTGCATCGTGAGGTTAGAGTGGAGCGGTTTTGTCGCGGTTTGGGATACTGTTAAAACCGTTGCTGTTGTCAGAAAACACAGTTGCATCCTCGCATATTATTTCATAGATGCATTGGTACCAAACACTACGCGTTTAGTGAGAACTCACTGAGTCATCAAATTTGATGCAAGAGAGCAGCTAACGGTGCAAGAATGCTCGGAAGAGCGGAAATTACAAAGGATTGTACTTAGCGACCATTGCATGAAGGGTAACTTCGTACCTTCTGCATGCAATGTGGGAGTTAACATCAAATTAGAATAAGTATGGTGTCCCCACATGCATATGTGACATCTTGTATGAAATCACAAACATTCAGTGTAATACAGAATATACGTTCAAGCTGAGGTTCAACCACATTGCACCCTTAATTATACAAATAAAACTCATTTCAATTTAAGTTTTATAATAAAAAAATCTAAGCGCCCTTGTGGTGTTTTGCATGCAGTTCTTGGAACCATTTACACATTTATATTTTGTTGCAAAATTTTCATCAAGCCTTTAAGTCGTTTTTCTTCTCTCAAAGTCGGGTCTTTCCTTTTACTTCCGAGTCGAGAATTACTATCTCGTCGCTCAGGCATGTGTATTGTGTTTGAGTGACTATTATGTTCAGCGCCCTCTTACAGGCATGGTATGTTCGGAGAGTGGAGTGAAACTTCAGGGGAAGTGGTTTCGTGTAGCGGTCAATTTGGCGCTTTGTCTCATAGAAGGCAAAATAAGTGTGAGCCTCAGCGCGTTTTACATCTTAGTTGAGGAAGTACTAGAAAAAAAAGCAATTTTGTGTACTTAACAATTTCACCTGTGGTACAATTACATTTATAACAATAAGGTACAGCTGTACAAAATTTGTAAAATTCTTTGAAAATGATTTGGAACATTATGAGCGCCGGAACATCGGTTTTTACTAAGATGATGGAGCTCCAAAAATAAGGGGTCCGTGGTACACGTAAGCTGCTATCCACACATTAAATTAAAAGACAGTTTTTCAATGAGTGATAGTAAAACATACATAATCATTATCAGCCTGAGTAGCTTGAAACTAGATATATGTTCTCATGCGATAGAAGTGAAACTTACAATACTGGATACCTGGGGAGCACTCGCTCCTGCTCCTCTTACGGCTACACATTCCAACGTCTGTGCATCTATTAACGCGGACTTTACGAGTCAAATCTTACTCTTGGTAAATCCTTGTTGCAAAAGGTCACATCTACGGCAAGGTCGGTGCCATCCCATTCGTGGAAGCAACTATGCTATTTCGGTTGAAATGATAGAGGCTGGGGGGTCTAGCCTTTAGCTGAAACGGCATCAGGACAATTTTACCAAATGAAAACACATCCATTAGCTTTTCAAGTGGAAGGATTTCTTTTACTTTGTCTGATGCTTGTAACAGCCCTTGTGTACTTGTACGTCCGCTTAAATTCTACCGCTTAAGGCTCTACGCGAGAGTAAGCCCCGACTTGCTCGTTAAGCACGACAAGCAGAGGTTGCCACTCTCGCAGCTAGATTAGGCAAACTGTCTTGTTGTGTCGGCACAAGTACTTTCTTTAAAATAGCGGTGTGTGTACCGATTGAGACGAGAGCACGATCTCCGAGCTTTGGTATCGCACTGCGGAGTGTAAGCACGTCGAATGTTCTCCTCAGCTTATAAAAGCTATACCAAGTCTCGCTTTTACGACTCAGTTGTGTCTGGGGAGCTCTGCTGCAGACAGAGCAGCATCTTCGCCATCCCTGCTGCTGAGATACTTTCATCTTTGAAGCAGTGACGCGTTTCTGGATTGTAAGGGGGGCACAAGTCCGACCAGGACGGTCAGTGTGCTGGATATCGGATTCTCCGAGTTGGCAAACACCGAAGAGGTTTAGGACAAGAATCCCGAACGTGGCGCGTGGGCTGAATGTGGAGTGGTATGTAACCTACTACGCGCTACTCAAGTATTGAGGCAGTCGCTCCGTGCCAAGAGTGGCGTAGTCGGACGAGGTCCAAGGCATCAAGGGCTAGGCCCTTGTGATGCGCGTGAAGTGGCACGTAATCCACTTAGCACTGCTCATGTTTCGAAGCAGTTGAGGCATGCCAAGAGTGGCATTGTCGACGACATCCGAGGCATCTTGGGCAAGGATCTTCTGATGCGCGTGGAGTGGCACGTTATACAATGGATAAAGATTGCGGAAACAGCAGCTTTTCGTCGGATGTTGTTAATAACATCAAGGCTCTGATGGAGCAGGGAGTGGGGATCGAGTGAGTGTTACCACTGGTCTCGATGAGGCGTAGAATCTCTACAGAGAGGAACGGCGAAGCCGTATGTTATCTGCAAGACGCAGGGCATCGAACCTGACCCAGCGTGTGTCTACCGTAGACGATAGAGCACAGCTATATACCCTTGTCAACGGTATGATGGGAGAGGAAGACGGCGACAATACCCTCGAGGCTATCCCCCCGGTGAATGCTCTTCTTGAGCTGGATAAGTTGTCCTTCGAAGAGTTTAGCGATGCCTTGAAGGCTGGCGATCTAGCTAGGGTGGTCATTATATTACCGAACTGAGAGATTAACTAGTCGTCGCTACTGGATGGAGCTGTTGTGGACAAAGATTTCATCGAAGTATGTCTGTGCATACGCCCGGTGGGGCCTGAACAATTGCGTCACAAGACGAATGTATGTTTGCGGGTGCATTTGACAGCCCTTGAGGCATCACCAGCCACTCTCAGAGGATCCCGCTCCAAGTACTCACCGCTGTCAGCGGAATTTCACTTGCTCTCATGAGCAATTGATAATAACCATCGATCGAGTCGTGTGCGCTGTACTTTGTACGGCCAACCATGTTTTTCTGGAGAAAGAAGATCCTTTCCAGAAATCCGCGTTTGTGCCGAAATGGTGGCACCGATTAGCTTAGTATAGGTGTGAGCGATACGCCACTTGTCGTTCAGCTTCCGGACGCAAAACGTGGATGTCGAATGTGGAGATTTGCTCTCTCGCACCATTCCTGTGTCGTGCCTCGACCAGAAAAGGCGTCAGTGACGTCACACTACTCCTCGGGCCGGGGCCATTGGCGTGTTACGCAGTATTTGGTTTCCGGAACTAGGTCAACCTCATGACGCGCATCTCGGTCCGGAGGTCGATCCGACGGCGGGTCTTTGGAGACGACGTCGTGAAATTCCATTACCAAAGGATAGAACGGATTTGAGATATTCTTCGGGATCGACGATCCACTTCCTTCGTTCAGCACCCTATCAGTGTCCTCCAGGGTCGTGCGGGGCACAGGAGGGCAGATGAGGAATACCATATCGTCCATTTGAGAGCGGCGCTTGAATGCATACGCACGAATAAGTTGTATGCCAATGCCTAAAGAGCATCTTTGGCGCGAAAAAAATCTCCTTTTTAGGGTTTTCACTGGGAAGCGTAGCCTTCGAGTGGATCTCGCTGAGATTAATATTGTTGGATACCGACCGCTTCCAAAGATCCAAAAGGCCTTGCGCAAGTGGCTTTGCCTCGCGTAATTCTTGCTCAAGCAAAGCGCAAATTTTGCGGAAATGGCACGGCCATTCTTTAATCTCCTAAAGAAGGATAAGGAATGTTGTTGGGGCACCGAGCACCAGGAGGCTTTTAACAGGGTCATAGACAGCCTCCTTCATGCACTAATACTGGCGTTGCCAGACCCAGACCCCGATCGTCCTTTTAGTGCTCTCACGTACCATTTCTACTGATATATATTAATTAATATATAAGTGAACAAACTCTACACTATAAACCGAGACTTTCTGGGAAAGTCGACTAGCTACCACACCCGAAAAAAATTCTCAAGGGCCGACCGCGAAAAAATAATTTTTAAGGTTGGACAGAATTGACGATTCTGAAATATTTGATTACGTTGCAGCGCTCCGAACCCAACCAGAGTCTTGAGGTGGGTGTCTAACCATTGCTCAATTGTTTCGGCAGCACAAACGTATGTGACATGATATCTCAGCTGCTGACAACGTAACGAAAGCTTGCACTTTCTTGCTTAGAATATGAAAGACGCTAAATAAAATTAAACATATATAACACTATAAACTCGAGTTTGGCTCAGAATTTATTAAGAATTTTGCTTCGAACAATTTCCCATTCTAATCTACGTCCTTCTTGCCATGGAGCGGAGGTACTGAGTCGATATTTGTTGCCGTCTCACCCTCTTAATACCATACAAATTAGCTTCAACAAAGTGGACATCCCCCTTGAACGTCATTTTACGCTGACGAATTGTGGTTCCTCATGATGAGGATTTGAAATATCGCATCCTCTATGAAGCTCATGACATACCACTCAGTGGACATTTGCCATGTCCACATGCTTCGTCCTAGCGTGGTATCCGGCATGCAACCCACTGCAAGCATTAAGATTTTTGATTAATTTATTATGAGTTTCGGCTTATTAATAAACTATTCA